GTGTGTGTGTGTGTGTGTGTGTGTGTGTGTGCGGCGCGTGGGTGAGTACTTTTTGTTGGAACAGCCTGGCTCCACCACTGATATTCAAGCAAACAAAGTTTATGGCGTCATCTCCATTCGGGCAGCTTTCACCCAGAGGGGGCCACTAGTCTGGAAATAGCTCAACGCTCCAACTTTTACAGAATTTCTTTTCGACGGGACTGCGTCATAAACCGTATAATCGTGAGCCAATTTTGTGTGTGATAATGATATCGCTTCTATTTGCATGGTGAACGGGCACGGCATTAGATCAGGTTGATATTATGTTTGGCTTCTGCTCCAGGGTCTCTGGTTTGAATCCATAAAGGGGCGTTCTCGAACTATCCACTATCATCTGCCCACTTAGCTGAGCATTGAGGGAAATAGACGTCATGCATCCTTGGAGCTGTCTCTGGCTTTGACCGTATTATTTTGGGAAAGGGATCGGACTTTGTTATGCATAGCCATCCTGTATCACACCACACCGCACCACACCCCACTACACCCTACAACACCACACCACACCACATAACACTATGCCCCTCCCCACCTCATAACATCACACCACACCACACTACCCCTCACCACACAACACCTCACAATGTCATACCATCCCTTGCCCTATAATTATTTTCACACTTTACATAACCATGCCATACTACATCATTATTAAGCTCTTTCCTGACATTCCCTCGCAAAGTTATTAACAGAAAATACAACTTCAAGACGCAGATAATACATTTTGGTGGCATGAATTCCATTCTATCAAAACATTCAGGATCAATCTGAAAGACCCCTTTGAAAATGTTCTGCTTGTGTGTGTGTGTGCTTGTGTGTGTGTGTGTGTTTGTGTGTGTGTGAGTGTGTGTGTGTGTGTGTGTGTGTGTGTCTGCGTGTGTGTATGTTCGTATGTGTGTGTGTTTTCTTTTTTCTTTTTCTTTTTTTTTAATCTGCTTTGGGTTTCCCTTCAAAAAAACTGTGTTGGGTTTCTTTTGAAGAACCAAAGCTAAGTATAACAACAGTAGTGTCAAAATTTTGAAAGCTGCTGATCCTAGCTCCGATACGGCCAAATCAAATTCAGCGTGAAGAAAGGCAGTCCTCTCATTATTAATTACGCCAGCGCACTATTATGTTGAAAAACCTCTCCAGGACTATAACAAACAAAAGCCTTTTTCCGTCCGTCCGAGCTGGTGGGGGGGGGGGCGTGCCAGTGGTACTTGAGTGCCCTGCGAGACCTTAAGCAACTCTGCCCTTCAAGCTGCTGTTGATCCCGGCACAAATAAGTTCAGGGAATCGATTGGCAATGCTCAGTCTTGGTGGTTACCCTACTTCTCCCGGAGAGAGTAGAGAGAGAGGGAGAGAGAGAGAAAGAGAGAGAGAGAGAGAGAGAGAGAGAGAGAGAGAGAGAGAGAGAGAGAGAGAAAGGGGAGAGTAGAGAGAGAGGGGTGGAGAGAATGGGAGAGTAGAGAGGGAAAGAGAGAGAGGGGAAATAGAAAGAGGGATATAGGAGAGAGGGGATAGAGAGAGTGAAAATAGAAAGAATAGAAAGAGAGGTGAAAGAGTGAAAAGATGGAGAAAGAGAATAGAGTGTGTGGGGGGAGAGAGAGAGAGTAGAGGGAGAGAGAGAGAGAGAGAGAGTAGATAAAGTGAAAATAGGATATGATATATGGTTAAAAATAACTATTTGTGATGCCTTATATTATATAACATCACCCCCACCACCCCCTCCAGTTTTAGTTATTTTAGGAGACGGGTCTGATTAGAAAGACAAAGATACTAAATACATCTTCACTACTTTGGAATCAAATTCGTGACTTTATTTTGCAAAACAATGAGACAATCAGTCTAACAGAGATAAATTTTGCTCTCGAAAGGTTGTCTCTGCAATATGCGGAAAAAATTGATTATTTTTTCTTTCACCTCATTCTTTCACCATGATATCAACTAATAGAGCTCAGGAAAGATGAAAGTCATCAGGTGGGCTTACATTATTTCCTTTTATCCCGTGCAATAAGAAGTCCCTTTTTTGTTCTATGCAGACAATTTTTTTTTAGTTTGCTCAAATCGATTAAGTAGATTAATCACACAGTACGAATTCAGACTCTAATATTTTGTCCGTTCAGTTGTGATGGAAACAAGCTTCGGCATCTGGTTGTCCCAAACTGGAAACCAAGTTTTTACCGAAATATTTTGTCTTGCAAGGTGTATGGAAGTACGAGAACACCTGGAATTCCAGTTGCCTTGCACGC